TAATAGGGCAACCCAAAAGCTGAAACTCATTAGGATTGGCTACATGCGGGGTGTGTGGCCTAACATGCAAAGGAGTTCCTGCTACAAAAAAAAAGCCCTGGGTTTTGACAACAAACAAGGTAAACAGAATAAGAAGCAAAAGGTGGGTGTGGCTGGATGACCACACTTCCAGGGGCATGGGGGTGTGGCCTAATATGCTAATGTGCTGTGCTGTCAGGGGTGTGGCCTACTATGCAAATGAGTTTCTGCTGTTGGGTGTGGCCTGTTATGCTAATGAGTTCCTGCTGGGCTTTTTCTACAAAAAGAGCGCTGGGGAAATGATTAATCCAGATAGGAGCCATGGTGGGCAGAAGGGCTCAGAGACAGTGCTGGGTTCCCACCAGCCATCCCTCCTCTGTCAGGGGAGATGCCAGATATCCCGGCAAGGTTTCCAAGAAATGGGAGGGAAAACCAGAAACTCTTATCTAAAGGAAACGGTTACCATCCCATTGCCAAGCCAAGAGGTCAACGTGCAGTTTAGCGTCTCACAAATAACAAAGTCTGTTTCTCTTGAAAAAAAAATTTTTAGGTGGGAGTAATGCCGAATTTGAGGTGGGGCTAGGGACGCCAGCTTCCAGGTGGGACCTGGGGATCCCCTGGGATTCCAGCTCCTCTCCAGACTACAGAGATCAGTTCCCCTGGAGAAAGTAGACGCTTTTTGGAAGGTGGAATCCATGGCGTTATACCCCACTGAGTTCCTTCCTATCCTCAAACCCTGCCCTCCCCAGGCTCCAACCCTAAATCTCCAGGAATTTCCCAATCTGGAGCTGGCAACCCTAGGTGGGGCGCTGGCCACCGCTGGCCTCACCTGAGGGTTGCCAACCTCCAGGCGGCACCTGGAGATCCCTCCGTATTACTGTTGATCTCCAGACAACCAAGATCAGCTTCCCTGGAGAAAGTGGCTGCTGTGGAGGGTGGGCTCTATGGCATTGTCCCACCCCAGACTCCCCACCCCCAAAATCTTCAGGTGTTTCTCAGCCCCACCTCACTCCGACCGTGAAGCTGTTGCCCCTCGAGAGCCAGAGCTCAGCCACAGGTGTGTGTCTCTGTGTGTTGCAGGTTACAAGCAGCATATCGATTCCAGGATCTCTCCTGAATTCCTGGCGGCTTCCGCACTCTTCCTGGGCACCATGGTCCCTTCCGGAGTCTACATGAGGTGAGCAGAGAACACGGGGTCTCGTTGGGCAGTTTTGCATATCCAGTCTTACGCAGCAGGCAATTGCAGTGTGGTCCAAGGAATCTAATGAGAGTCAGCCTGGTGTAGTGGTTAAGAGAGGCGGACTGAAATCCGGAAACCCGGGCTCTTTTGCTTCGTGCTAAGGGCTGCGGTGGCTCAAGTGGTTAAGACGCTGAGCTGCAGGCTGGAACGTTGTTGGTTCGGCAGTTCGAGACCTGAGTGCCGCATGGAAAAAAGACGAATATTATCCAGAAATATATTATTCCACAAATCGTTTCCCCCCCCACAAAACTTACCCACCCATCCACAGTACTTTCCTGTTAAAAATTTTAAGTTGACATAAATGCAATTGACCATCAGAAAAAGAAGACTTTGGCTTCATCCGAAAGGCATACAACACAGGTTGTTGCCCTATAGTTAAATGAATGGCTCATTCCAAAATCTGAATACTTTACAGCATCCTTCCAAGTGACTAAGCAAATATGACTTCAAGGATTAAAAGGTGGGACTAAGCAAATATGACTTCAAGGATTAAAAGGTGGGACTTCTTGCTGTGTTTCTTATTTTGGATTTCTTAGGAACAAGGTCCTACCTAAGGTGGAGCCAAAAAGCTTTTGATATCAACATGGGTGTGTTCTTGCCTTGCAAGGAGTTGCCTTATATGGTGTCATAAATTCTGTTTAATCTACAAGAAGTCATAGACGACTGACGGGGACTACTTTGGTGCCGATCCAATCTCCCTCTTTCCTTGATTTTTTTTTTTTTTCCAAATGTTTTTATTGTATCCCAATATTGTTATTACATTACAGTTTAGTTCCAACTTTTTGATACTTTTACCCCTCTGTTTTTTCCCTCCCCCCTAAGGTGGCCACCATCATGTTATTCAAATTACATTTTCAACCATGAGCACATTCTTTCCAACTTTTCAAATATACCTCTGTTGGCTTCCCCTTTATAAACCCATTTAAAGTATACCGACCATTTCTTTTTTATCTCCTTCATTTTTACAGTCCATGTCTTATCTTGCTTTAAACATTCCAATATGTCCGATTGTATATATTCATATAAATATTCGTTCCATTTTTCTAAAGTCCATTTTGAGTTCTCCTTCCAACCATATGCAATTACTGCATGCGCTGCTAATAACATTACTTTGAAAATATCCTGATTTTGTTTCTCAATTCTATGGTTTCCCAATACACCCATAAATAATAAATCTACATCTATAACCAGGTTCACTTTACATAGCACGGCTATTTTCCCCCGTATCTTTTCCCAAAAATCTATC